ATTCTAGCTTGTACCCCTGTACCAGAAAACTACTGGGTCTGCCATCCCCCAGAGCTGAGTGTTTTCTTCAGAGTATTAGCTTCCTAGTGCCCTGTTCTTTCTCACTGTGCCCCAGTGTCTTCACCACAAGCTAACGCATACAGCCCTTTGAGGGATTTATGAAGACTAAAAAACACTACCTTGGCACACAGTGAACGTTCAGTAACTACTGTCACCACCACCACCATCTTTATTACTAAGGTACACTGTCTCCTGTGCCCATGGACTCTCCCCCTTCTCTTGATGAACTGAGGCATGGAGCTAACTAAGCAGGGGCCCTCCCAGTCATCTCAGCTCCCAAGGGATGGCTCAGTTTGGCCTCACAGACCGGCCCACCAAGACCTGGCTGGGGAAAGTACCTCTCAGTGTCAGGTAACCATAAGCCAGGTTGGCTAAAGCCTGCGCACATTTCCAGTGTTCTTCCCCAAAAATAATCCGAGAAAGGATGAAACACCGAATCAGCTCCTTGTTTGCTTTGGTATTCTGCAGAGAGGAAAAAAAAAGTCATTTTTAGGAAAGGAGGAAAGTCTGGGGTCCCTCACTATTGGTTAGAACTGCACTGGCCTGGTATCTTTTTTTTTTTTTTGGTCATTCTTTCTCATCACACTGAGTCTGGTTGGCTCCGCCTTACACATACATCCTGAAACCAAGCTCTTCTCATTTCCACTTTGAGTTCCTCACTCTCATGCACCCCCATCATTATGTGGCTGGACAGACAGTACACCCCTCCTAATTTGTGCTGCTCTTGTCCTCCACACTCGGTCTTTTATCTCATAGCCAAAGAGCTTTTCCAGAGCACTTCGTCATGGGAAACTTATAACACATAGAAAGTGATCATGTGCCTTCACTGGTTTCCTGTTTATTGTCATTGTCACTCCTACTCAGGTATATGCTCCATGACTTTGCCTTCTAGTATATTGAAGAAAATCTATATTATTTCATATATTAATATCTCATGGGTAGCTCTAAAAGATATGAGATTAAAAGCAACCACAAAATCATTATCACCAAAACATCAGCAGTGATTTTTTTAATATCAAATAGTGTCATAAACCCAATATTTTGAAGTTTTTGAGGACTTTTATTGTTGTTTTGTGTTTTGAGACAGAGTCTTACTATGTAGCTAGTCTGGCCTTAAACTTTCGATCCTTTTGCCTCTGCCTCTTGAGTGTTGAATGCCACCATGACCAGGTTATCTCTGACAAAAGGAAACAAACAAACAAAAAACCCAAACAAACAAACAAAAACTTTTAAGCACAACTACTTTATAAGTGTGCTCTTCTATCAGAAGTTACTATTTGCTTGTCTTGTTTCCTGAGGCTAGCACACATTCTCCATCACAGCTCCCTCATGTGTTAGCCAGAATACTTCCCTGAAATGAAATTCCTCAGGGCTGGTGAGGTGGCTGAGTAGATTAAGGCACTTGCTGCCTTTTAAAATTGCAAGCCTGGTGAACTAAGGTTCAATCCCTGAATCCCATGTAAAGGTGGAAAGAGAACTGATTCTACAAAGTTGTCCTCTGATCACTATATGCACTGTGATGCATGCACGTGTGCACATATACACAATCACCAAGAATAATACATCAAAGCCAGAAAGTTCTGCCACCTACTTTCTTGGCTACCCGCTGTACTGGTACAGTTTGTAATGACAGGGCAGGATACACGATCATTCTTTCCCTTTGCCTACCCACTTTCAGAATAACAAGTTCATTCATGAGCATTGTCCAATGGCGAGCAAGTAGTTTATTATAGTTATTATAAGCTTAAATGCTTTTAAACATTTCATGTGGCAACAATCTTTTAAAAGTATAATTAGCTTAGCTTACTGGCCTGTGTATATCAGTCATCCTTTTTATTTTTAATGAAATCCAAAGTCTTCACCATAGCCTGCACGGCTCCGCTCAGTGTGACCCTACGCTGATCACCTCCTCCGTTTTCTAACCCTCTCTGTTCTCATCTTTGTCTCACTGCTGCAAGCATACTGTCCCAGCTGACCCTGAATCGGGCTGGTGGGCGTCCACTGTGGGCTCCCCTGCCTGAGATGCTCTTTTGAGAACTCTCACTCACTTTCCTTTTGTTCACCTGGGAGGCTGTTCTTGGCTACCTTTCTGACACAGCCACTGACGATTCCTTGCCTGGTTTATTTTTGACCCATCTGATACACTGCTGTTGGTCTGTTTACTATCTGTCTTCCCAAATAGACTATAACTTCCTTAAGAAGTTTATTCCTGCTGGGTGTGATGACTCACACCTTTAATCTCGGCACTCAGGAGGCCGAGGTGGGTGGATCTCTGTGAGTTAGGGGCCAGCCTGGATTACAGAGTGAGTGCCAGGACAGCCAGAGCTATATATAGAGTGGGAATCTGTCTCAAAAGAAACCAGAAGGGAGGGGTTATCCCTCTCATTCACTGTTAGAGGACTGTGCACAGAGGAGGTATGTTTGCAGCATCCAATGAATGGACCATCTCTTGTGATAAGGATAAAGATAGAGTAACGGGATGAGCTTTCCAGAGAGCTCTAGAAAAATCATAAACTAATGCCGGGCAGTGGTGGTGCAGGCCTTTAATCCCAGCACTCGGGAGGCAGAGGCAGGAGGATCTCTGTGAGTTCGAGGCCAGCCTGGTCTCCAAATCGAGTTCCAGAAAAGGCGCAAAGCAACACAGAGAAACCTTGTCTCGAAAAACCAAAATAAATAAATAAATAAATCACAAACTACACATTTGTGCTGTCATGAATTCTAGTGACTTTACATAGTCATCCAGTGGTGACAGTGATCATCAACTCGGGATGTCAATTTCCAGGTCAAGTGAAAACAGTGCTTTAAAGACTCAAAAGCGGAAGATCCAGCCCTGCTGTGATGTTTGCTGGCTACGTTGTTGTTTGGGGGAAGGTCACCCAAACCCCAGCTTCCCTTCCTGAAATTTGGAAGCCTGTACCACCAATCTCAAAGAGTTCTTGAAAGAAGAGAATTAGTTCATGTTCACATGATCCAAATTTGTTAAGTCATCTAATTATATCCCACTTAAAATACAGTAACGCTTCATATGGGTCCACAGTCCACCTCCTTCCAACTCCTGCATTTCCTACCTTAGCTAGGTACTTCACCTCCTTCTTATGATGCAAGCCCCGCATTTCCCAATGCTTTAAAAATATCCAGTCAGCATTTTGGAGAGTTCATCATAGGCTAACTATAGCAAACATTAAGTTTTGTTTTGAGTATATAACAAAGTGTTCGAAAAACTGTCAGAGGAGGAGTCCAGAGCTCTGAGTCGGGCTGGCTGGCCCTTAACAGTATGTACCCCTCCCAAACTCCTTGTCTTAGGGAAGAAGAGACAACTAGAATGGGCTTAAGCCATTCCACCGCTGTTGTTTACAGTAGTATCCTGTCCTTCAGGGTGGAGTGACTTTTAAATCCCAAGATATAAATATCACCATTATCTGAACTGGACACAGTTTCAAACCTTAAAACCTCTACTTGCTATGCTGGTTAGTCTATTGTCAACTTGACACAAGCCTAGAGTCACCGAGTCGAGTGAGGAACTGCTCAGATGAGGCTGGCCCCTTGTGCATGTCTACAGAACATTTCCTTGACTGCTGATTGGTGCAGGAGGGCTCTGACCCTTTTCTGTGGGCAGAATAGTCATAGGTAGGAGGGTCTGGGCTTTATAAGAAAGCTAGCTGAGCATGAGCCAGAAAGAGCAGGCCAGAAAGTGTCTTTTCTCCCTGGTTCCTGCCTGTGCCCCTGTATGAGTTCCTGCCTTGACTTCCCTCAGTGATGGACTGTTGTCTGCAAATGTAAGGCAAATAAACCCTTTCCTCTCCAAGTTGCTTTTGGTCATGGTGCTTATTGAAGCAATATAAAGCAAAGAAGTACACTTTCACGGTGCGGAAGATGGGACCTTTTTGCTTATAGAATGATATTTCCAGAATGCATGTGTGAACTGAAGAAGATCCAGGTTGTGACAGTTGTGTACTGAAGTTCTCTGGACAGCTTGCAAAAGGAGATTTGCAGACATCCATTAGAGAGATATCAACACTGGTTGCCGCAAAGGTCCTTTCCTTCTCAGCCTTCCCTGAGCCCTCTTCCTGCTTTCCTCACATGTACTTTAGAATCATCTTTTGACGGTGAATGGCCAGAGTCAGTGTATGAACCTCTCTGTTGATAAATCAGAACCTGGGAGCAGGCTGGTGGCTGTGTCCTAATAAGGAAAGTCAATGTGTTGCTGTCTCAAGATCCTAGATTTTGAACTCTTTTGTTTATACACCTGTTCAGAAATCAGAATTCCCAAGTCCTTGACTCAGCTTTAGAAATGCATGTACCTTCATGGATGCTCACCTCCACTGCTTTCTGTACTTTGGTTTATGGCTGCGTCTACTGTGGCCATGACATCCTTCCTATATCACCTGTCTGCTTGACTACTACTGTTCCTGACCTCCTGCCTTACCATCCTGAGCCTCTTCTTACCCAAGAATCACTTTGAAATCTTGATATAAGGGATAAGAGACTTTTAAAGGTCAGGCTAACCAAAAAGCAACTGAATGTGGCAAACACTGAAATTTTTAGTTATAAGCTTGGTTAAAAGTTAAAAGCATGAGCCCTCTTGTGAGGAACAGACACCAAAATGGACAGAGAACTGGAGGGTAGACTATGCTCAACTATGCTCTGCTATATTTTCTTCAAGTTACAACACACAATGGATTCCTCACATGCTTCATTCTGCAGTCAAGGCAGGCTATCTCATATTGTGTACACACTTTTAAATGGCAACCCAAACCCAGTAAATATTTTGTTTGCTTTACCATTTTTTCCTTAACGAGCTGACCAACTTTCTCCTGGGACTCAGCTAATTGCTGTTTTGGAAGAGCCATCCCTTTTTTCTGGACTGTAGTGTCTTCTTCAGTCTCTCTATACTGACAGATAGTAAACAAGTCATCAGTGTGTTGTGCTGGGTTCCTGTTTTGCTGTGACCTGTTGGCATAAGAGGGCATGCATCAGGATTCTCAAAAAAGACAAAAGAGAAGGCTAAAGTATCCTCAGCTGGAGGATATGAACTTGCTTTCCATCTTAGTTAGGGTTTCTATTGCTGTGAAGAGACACCATGACCACGGCAACTCTTATAAAGAAAAGCATTTAATAGAGGTTGGCTTAGAGTTTCAGAGGTTTAGTCTATTATTGTCATGGTGGCATGCGGGTAGATATGGTCCTAAAGAAGGAGCTCAGAGTTCTACATCTTGATCTGTAGGCAGCAGAAGTGGCTGCCACACTAGGCCTAGCGTGGGCCTATAAGACCTCAAAGCCCACCTCCAAAGTGACACACTTCCTCCAACAAGGCCACACCCACTCCGACAAGGCCAAAACCTCCTAATAGTGCCACTTCCAGTGGGCCAAGCATTCAAACACAAGAGTTTATGGGGGCCATTCCTATTCCAACCACCACACTTTCTAAGTTCAATTTGAAATAAAGATACACAGTAAACTCACACTACTCTAAGGACCTAGCATCTACGCAGCAATTCAGTAGCTCAAAGAAAACATCTGGTAAACTTATCACCTTGCAGTAGAGGCAAAGCTCCTCTGCCTGCGAACCACGGAACCCTAAATAAGTGCTATTTAAATGACTTCTCCATAAAGGCAGGTCAATGTGAATGCCTGCCTAATGCAATTAGGACTAAAGGAGGGCATCCTCATCAACCCCTGTGTACAGTGAGCAGCACTTTGCAAATGCTTCTTTAATGCTTGCTATTATTCCTGCTATTGACCCCATGACTCGGCTTCCTCCTTCAACAAAATGAGAGTGTTGAGTTAGAAGATCTTGAAGACCCTAAAATTTAGATCCAAGCCAGGCAAAGGAATGGATACAATGAAATAGGAGATAGGGAATAACGTTTTGAGGATAGACTAACTTCACAGGTTCTCTTTCATAAATCTCAAAATCTTCCATGTGTAATTTGTAATTTAACCAAAGAGAATGCAGCTTTTGGCAAGAGAAAAGCCACATGCTAGGTCAAGTGCATGTGCCTCTTTTGTTGTGTTAGAAACCAATTCGGTAAGAAAGAACCAAGTTGAGAATTCTCCCCCCACACACACACCATATATACATTAACATACAATATAAATAAATCCCTAGCTTCAAGGTTAATAGCAATTGTGAAAGAAGTAACTGGAAGTGTATTCATAGAGAAAAGAGATAAACATATCCTAATATCACCAGAAAAAATGAAAATGATCTGGAATAAACAGAATTCCAACATCTTAAGAGCAATGATAACTAATCAGAAATGTCTCCCATAGGAATCATCTTTGTAGTCACAATACTTTTTTGGATTCTAGACAATGCAAAGTTTTAAAAATAAAGTTTGTCTTTCTTAAGCAGTGGTAGTGGGCTATGCCTATAATGCCAGAAGGCTGAACCACAAGAATTATGAGTTCAAGGCCAATATAGGCTGCAAAATGATCTTTATCAAAACAACAACAAAACTATCCTTTCACACGAACTACTTGGGCAATGTATATTTGCTGTTCTTTTCAATGGGGGAATTGAGAAAGGTATGATGGGAAGATAAATGTTGTGTTATCTTTAACACCAAGTTTGAAAAGTTATATAAAACCCACTCAGAGTAGTCTTCCAAATAACATGCCCAGAGACAAGCAGGTGTACCAGGTCATGTGGATAGAGCAGCATTTCTTCAGGCCAAGGAAGAATGACCTTCCCACAGATGAGCATGCTTTTAGTTAGAGCAAGAGAAAGCCTGGTGATAGGCTTTGACTGGAAGGCAAGTGATAAACTGGGTTCTTATCTAGGTGTGACCTTGTTGGAGGAAGTGTGTCATTGTGAAGGCAGGCTTTGAGGTCTCCTTCTCCTGCCTGCAGATCAAGATGCACAGCTCTTAGCTCCTTCTCCAGCACCATGTCTGCCTGCCAGCCACCATGCTTCCTACCATGACAATAATGGACTAAACCTCTGAACTGTAAGCCAGCCCCAATTAAGTGTTTTTCTTTTTAAGAGTTGCCATGGTCATGGGGGTCTCTTCACAGCAATAAAATCCTAACTAAGACACTACATAATGACAAGTGAGATCTCTCAGGAAAGTCAGAATAAAAGGAATCAGCAAGGCAACTGAAGTCTCCCTAGACTTGTGACTCATTCCATCTGTTCAAATAATAAATATAAACCCTGATTGGTAATATAGTTAAAGAATGATCATTTCCAGTATGCTATATTGTGAACTCTATATTTTAAAAAGATTTATTTACTTTTATTTTATGGGTGTTTTGTATAGGTGGAGTTTTCCTGTGCCAGCAGCCACTCTTGAATAACCACTTAGAGTCTTAATATTAATTATAAATGCTCAGCCAATAGCTCAGGCTTATTTGTAACTAGCCCTTACAACTTAAATTAACCCATTTCTATTAATCTATATGCTGCTCCAAGGCTCGTGGCATTTACCTCTCTGACATGTTTTGCTCCCTCCCCATCTAGCTGGTGACTCTTCTGACTATGCTTTTCTTCTTCCCAGCATTCTCTGTTTGGCTCTCCCCTAACCTTATCCTTTCTAGCTATTGGCCAGTCAGCTTCTTTATTAAACCAATCACGGTGACATATATTCACATAGTGTAAGTAATATTCCATAGTTTTGCCTGTATTGTGTCTATGCACCTTGTGTGTGCAGTGCCTATGGAGGCCAAAAGAAGGTTTGGATCCCCTGGAACTGGAGTTAACAGACAGTTATTAGCTGCCATGTGGGTGCTAGGAATTGAACTCCAGTCCTCTGGATGCATAGAGTGTGCTTTTAACTGCTGAGTCGTCTCTCTCAGAGATAAATACAGAATAAAAAATATAGAACACTAAATTTTTTATGTCCATTTTTATAGTTGTATAACATTTAACCTTATATTTTATGATATATAATCTTCAATAAGGTAACCACTAGCCACAGGTAGCTATTATGAACATGAAATATAACTAGTTAGAATTAAAATATTTCCAAAAATGTGAAAACAGGCTGAATTTTGATGACACACTTTGAAAAAATAGTGTAAAATATTTAGCAATTAGTATAAAATATTTAGCAGTTATACATAATATTTTAAGTATACTAAAATAAATAGCATTAAAATTAAATATACCTACTTTTGTTTACTTTTTGTTTTGTTTTGTTTTGTTTTTTCGAGACAGGGTTTCTCGGTGTAGCTTTGTGCCTTTTTCCTGGAGCTCACTTGGTAGCCCAGGCTGGTCTCGAATTCACAGAGATCTGCCTGGCTCTGCCTCCCGAGTGCTGGGATTAAAGGCGTGGGCCACCACCGCCCGGCTTTCGTTTACTTTTTATTATGGCTATCAGAAAAATGTAAATGCCAGAGTGGTTGATAGCTATTGTCTCTGTTGTTTTTCCTACACACTGGAATAAAGCAGTGGTTTTCACCCAAGGCTGATTCTGCCCCCTGGGGCCATTTGGCAATGTCTGAAGATATTTTGTTTGTCACAGATGTGGGGCAATGCTACTTGCATATAGTGGGTAAAAGCAAGGTATACTTCTAAATCTCCCTAACAAAGAGTTATCCAACTCAAAATGCCAAGAGTGCCAAGAGTAAGCGAATCACCATATGGAGAAATGGTTAATGGTTAAAAGTTGACAAGCTGGATTAAATACCACTAACTAGCTGTGCAACTTTGGACAAACTGCCTAACCTCTCTTTGACTTATGATCACCATCTAATGCAGTGCAGTAATGCAGTGCAGACGGCACATCCCTACAGAGTCGTGATAGGACAGGCACACAGAACCTGCTCAATAAGGATTGCTTATGAGGACGGAGAAGTTCTTATTAGGACTGAAGAGATGTCGCCGTTGCTAGGACCACTTACTGCTCTTCCAGAAGACACAAGTTCAGTCCCCAGCACTCACGTCAGATGGTTTACAACTATCTGTAACTCTAGCACCAGGGTACCCAATACCCTCTCTTCTGGCTTCCACATGTATCAGCACCCACATGCACATACCCCTCTTTCGTGCACATACCCCACATAAACAATTTAAAATAGTAAAAATAATTTTTAAATGCCTTTATTTATCCATTGCCTCTTTGTTTCATGAAATCTTACTCTGATTTTGTTATGTTTATCTCACTGGATTTACTAGAGTTGTTATTATGTTGCTTTATTTGTATAAACTTGAACATTTTCATAAATTAGGAAAATACAGTTGCCATCCATCTTTCAGAAGTTGTAGACACAAATGGATGTTATTCTATAATGTTATTAACATACAGCACAGCTGTGGACCTTTCTCTTCTATGGAAAGTTTTGCTCAGGCTCTCCTTAAAGTGGCAAGGCCCACCCTTTCTGGCGAGTGAGCATCATGTCCATGTCCTGCCAGTACTTACAGATGGAAGCAGTAGTCCCAGGCGGTGTCATTGCTAACAGTTGGAATGCGGATGGGGTTGGCTTGCATCTTCCTACCAAGAATCACAAGTGAGGTCAGTTTTTGGGGAAAGGGCTTGGACGTTTGTTCTATTTTCCCTCTGCTAGATCATACTAACTTTAAATTAAAACTACTAAATACAAATCTACAAATAGTTTATGCAGACCCACATGCAGAAACTCCAAAGAAGATGAAATTGAAGGTGCTCATCAGAGTTCATTTCTTTTTCCCAATTTCTACTCTATATCATGCCTCCAAAGTTCTTTTAAAAGCATTTCCTACATGACATATCTTTTACATTTACCGGGTCATCCAAACTATGGTGACCTATTCAACTCAAATACTGTTTGGCAGCGCTAAGGGAAAGCGAAACCAAAAAGTAATCAGTTTTCATCAGTAAAGCCTACAGTGTTTTGGTTAATCCTCCCCTTTCCAGGATCCATGCCACTATTGAATAGAAAGTTCTAGTTAAGAGGCTAAAACTCAAGTGCCTACTTAGGCTGCTGCTGTTAGCTGTTGGGTTGGGGGAGTGGTTGATGAAGAATTTGTAAAATGCATTTCTCAAGGCTATCCCTAATCCTTAAATGCGCGCGCGCACGCACACACACACACACACACACACACACACACACACACACACTTTACTGAACATTGACACACTCCAAATCGCTCCCTGAAGAATATTGCCTTCGCTTTCCTTGACCCAGGCTCCAGAACACTCAACTACACACACATGGGATGGGCAGAAGGACTAACTCTCCTTTCTAAACAATCCTACACGCCGTTCCCATGCAGCTACACAGGGCCGTGAATTAGAACTTGGCACTTGGCTCCCCGGGGGCAAACATCTCTTGCTGTTTCTCCGCGGGGTTTTCTACTGCTGCTTCCTAGAGGTGGACCCTCTCGGGGACTTGGCCCCATCTTCCCCGCCTGGGTTCAGACGACCTGCCCTGGAAGCTGGTGAGCACCTTTGGCTCCCCCGACCCGGAAACGCCTTCCTGGCTTCCCTCACCTGGCTAAGCAGTGAGGATCTCTGCTGCCTCCTGTCAGTGTCCCCGCCAGCCAGGTCTTGTCCTGAAGCAAGGAAGCTAAGCTTCTGAACTTGGAGACAATGCGTTGTCATGGGGACGGACACCTCTTAGCAATGACATCAGGAGCCATGGCAACGCGGTATACTTCCGGCCTGCAGCTCCGAGGGCACAGGTTATCTCTCCAGGGCCACTCGGGAGTAAAGCCTTGCTGCTGTGAACGGTCCTGTGGTGTCTGTCGCACAGGAACATTACTTCTCGAAGACGAAGGAGAAAAGGATAAATCCCATGGAAGAAAGGAAGGCGCTCCAGGGCTCGGGAGCCTGATAGTTTTAAAAACTGCTACGTCTACGGGCGATTTTCAGCTATGATCCTTGGCTAGTCAGTCAGTCCAGCCTTTTCCTGAAGTACCCTGAACTCCATCAGTCTCTGGTGTTCTGGGTCTCTAGACCTCGGAGAACAGACTCCTGTAGCTACTGGCAGTGTTTGGATCGTCGGTGCTACCTCTCTGCCTAAGGTTGGAGTCAGGCTTAATGAAGAAAACAGTGCAGGAAGTCAAGATTTAGCAATAGCCCAGTAGCCGTCAAATGGTTACATTCCAGGGAGAAAGACACATTCAGCAAACACCACATAGCCCTAAATCATGCAGCTTTGTCCCACAAGGTCACAAAGCATATAGTAGCACTACAAAGATGTGGGGTATGTTTGAAAGTGATAGAATGAACCCTATTATGCACTGGGTCCTTGACAATTGAACAGGTAAGTCCCTCCTGCATCAAAAAGAAAGGCTGGGTAGAAAAAGAAGATCACGGAGATTTTGTACGTTTTGCATTCTCACCCATCTGGGGGTGGAAATTTATCATTGACACAAGAATGTCAAGGAAGTCCTTTCAAAGTTGGGGGACTTAAATGAGCTTTCTTTCACAGAGAATAAAAGCTAGATGGTATGTAAACACAAAGTTTAAATCTGTACCCTCAAGCTCCTGAGCCCAAAATTTAGAAAGATCCCACTGTGCCTGTTCTCTGGTTCCTAAGAGAACCTTCAGCATGAAACAATTGTCAGAGTGATAAACTTGGTTTCAAGATGTCAGGGTTGCAGTTTTGACTCTGGCTTGGTGTGGGTATCAGTTTTCTTGACTACACTATAAATGTCTATGTACCCCCTTGCTCTCTAAAGTTTCTCTGGTTCTAGAATTCTGTGAGGATTTTTTTGTGGCCCCATGACTGATATTTGACATTTATGGGGATTAAAAGAAAGAATCTAATACTTATTTCCCTTAATAAAGTTGGGCACCATCAAATCGGAATTTTTTAGTGTTTTTACGATACTAAAATTGTTGCTAAGCCTTTGATGGTGCCCAATCATGTTAGTGTGGTAGCAGAATTGACACCGAATTCCCCTTCCTAAAGCTGACACTGATTCTACCTCCATTTAATTAGCCCTGAGCAGAAAGCAAGCTGCTCTTATTTGTAAAGTTATAAGGCAAACTCAGACAACCTTTCAGCCTCAACGTTCCAAATCTCTGATACTTTTTCTTCCCATGCCATCTTAACCCTGCCCCTCCAAAGTGAATTTTAGTAATAATGTGCGACTTAGATTTCTTTGCTAACTCTGGAATGTTGTTAGTCTCCATAGTTAGGTCTTGTATGCCCACTCACGTTCTCTCCCTTAGTCCCAAGGTGGACGCCAACACTCTCAGAACTTCAGAGGGAGAAGCAGGATTGAAGCAAAATTTGAGGACAGCTTGGGCTATGCAGCAAGTATCACATTAGCCATTGTAAGACCTGTCTCCAATAATGAAAGGAAAAAGAAAGAAAGCTAGAGTGAAAGCATGTGTAGAGACTTTGTAGAGAAAAGAAAGTGTATATAGAGAGCTCTTTGAGCTTTTATGACCCAAATCTAATGTGGTTACCTTCAAAGGATTCCAATCCTAGGAACTATGAAATATAAGAACAAGAAAATCCAAACAAGTATTTTTGGAAGTATTTTTTTTTCTTCCTCTCTGGACAGAATTAGATGTTCTCCTAGTTAGATTCAGCTGTCAGCCCGACACTGCCCAGTTATGTCAAGAAGTTTCCATCCAAGGATTGTCTCCATCAGATTGGCTCGTGGAGCACTTTCTCAATTGCTAATTGATGTGGGAGGGCCTAACCGAGTATGGGTGGTACCATCCCTGGGCAGATGGGCCTGGGCCACATAAGAAATGTAGCTGGACACGAGCTTGGGAGCAAGCCAATAAGCAACATCCCTCCATGGTTTCTGTGTCCGTTTCCCGCCCTGGTTGAGCTCCTGCCATGACTTTTTCCCAATGATGGACTCTTTGCTGTCAGATGAAACAACCCTTTCCTCCCCAAGTTGTTTTTGGTTATGTTGCTTATCACAGCAACAAAAAGCGAACCGTTAGTCCTGATGTCTTCTGTCTTGGTCAGTGCTCCGTTGCTGTGAAGAGACACCATGACCTCGGCAACTCTTATGAAGGGAAGCATTGCATTGAGGCTTGCTTACACTTTCAGGGGTTTAGTCCATTGTTACCATGGCGGGGAGCATGGCAGCATGCGCGCAGACACGGTGCTGGAGAAGTAGCTGAGGGTTCTACATCTGGATCCTCAGGAGCAGAAAAAGAGAAACCGGGCCTGGCTCGGGCTCTTAAAACCTCAAAACCCACCAACAGTGACACACTTCGTCCAATAAGGCACACCTCTTAATCCTTTCAAATAGTACCACTCCCTGCTAGCCAAGCATTCAAATCTATGAGCCCATGGGGGCCGTTCTTAGTCAAAGCACCACCCCTTAGTTCACTCTGAGCTTCCACATTTATCCTGCCCCACAATCTCATCACAGCGCTAACCTTGCCTTACTAGCACCTTGTGTTTGCTTGTAAGTTTCCCAGACTATGGATCCATCCAGCTGCCTCAACATACATATCTACCGAATGTGCACGTATGTACCAGATGCCTGTTATTGGAAGCACTGACAGAATGTGTCAGTCCGTGTGGTGATATTGTGTTCCCCAAAATATAGTGCACCCTAATAAACTTATCTGGGGTCAGAGAACAGAATAGCCACAATATTAAACACAGAGGTTAGGTGGTGGTAGCATATGCCTTTAATCCTAGCATTCCAAAGGCAGAGATCTGTCTGGATCTCTGTGAGTTCAAAGCCACACTGGAAACAGCCAGGCATGGTGACACATGCCTTTAATCCCAGGAAGTGGTGGTAGGAAGCAGAAGGGTATTTAAAGCATGAGGACCAGGAACTAGAGCTGGTTAAGCTTTTAGGCTTTTGAGCAGCAGTTCAACTGAGATTCATTTGGATGAGGACACAGAAGCTTCCAGTCCGAGGAAACAGGATCAGCTGAGGAATTGGCAAGGTGAGGTGGCTGTGGTTTGCTCTGCTTTTCTGATCTTCCAGCATTCACCCCAATAACTGGCAACAGGTTTGATTTTATTAATAAGAACTTTTAAGATTCCTGCTACATCAGGCGCCCAACGTTTGTGGTACAAATTCAAGAAAAAGCTACTTGCCTGTAGCCTTGCAGACCCCAGCTCAGGCCCAAGCTACACTCGGCCGGTTGTGGTGGTGCAAGTCTGAAAGATTTACTGAAGGAGGCAGAGGCAGGAGGATCCCAAGTTTGAGGCTGGCCTAGGAGCTTGCTAAGGAGAAGCTTCTGCCAGGGCCCAACCACAAATGGTGGCAGTGGGACCATGGAGGCAGTGGCTGCTGCTCCAAGTTGCTGGCTGCTTCTTATCATGTTGGTGACTGCGATGATGCTGCTACCTGGGATGAAGGGTTTACTGCTGCTTGTTCAAAGAAGAATTGCCAGGGCCATCATGCTACAAGAAAGCATCAGCAAAGGTCAGTTTGGAAAAGTTTGGCAAGACAAATGGTGAGGAGGAATTGCTGTGAAGATTTTCTCTTCTAGGGAAGAACATTCATGGTTCTGAGAGACAGACATTTATCAGACTGTAATTGCTCCAAACCACAGACAAGGCAAAAAAAAAAAAAAAAAAATTCTAAAGGGAACTATGACCATGCCTAACAGCAGCTTTGAAATCTTCAAAAGGATGACAGGACCCCACAAAAATGAACTGTCGAGGTGAGGTAGCTGTGGCTTGTTCTGTCTCTCTGATCTTTCAGCATTCACCCCAGTACCTGGCTCCAGGTTTGTTTTTATTAATAAGACCTTTTAAGATTCGTGTTACAAGTCCGTATTCTGTTTTTGTGACAAAATAACTGAGAAAATAAGCTTGAAAGATTTGGTTCAGTTCATGTTTCCTTGGCCTAGTTGTTTTGGGGTCTATGGCAAAGCCGAATCTCATGGCATGGAATATTTTGGCAGGTGAAATGTTTCCCTATGGCAAATAAGTAGAGAGAGAGGAAAAGAGGAGAAGGGGAGGGAAAGAGGGAGGGAAAATGAGATCGAATATGAATCCTAGTATATCTTGAAGAGCATGCTCCAAAGGACCCACTTCTGCCAACTAGACCCTATTGCCTGAGGCTGCAACCACCTCCAAGTATTGCTATCAGCTAGATATCAAGCCTTTAATAAATGAGGCCTTGGGGAGAAACTTAAGGTTGAGACCATAACTGGAAGCAAAGCTGAATATCAAATATTTATTTTCCTGGAACTCAGGAAATGACAAAAAAAAAAAAGTATGGTTGCTATGGATAATAGTGTTTTTGAAAATTAGAAAAGAAGTCACATAATTTAGGTAGTACAAAGTAACGTTCTATGAATTACTGGTGAAAAGGCCTCTTGTAAAAAGGCTAAGCCCCCTTCTAGAGTGCAGACAGGGTTGGAAGGCTCCCTCAAGCATTCACTCAGCTGACTAAATCATTTCACAGGCAAGTGACAGAAAGGACCGAAGGCAGGTGAGGAACCTAATGTGCAAGGGTGATTCTATCTTGTATAGTGTAGTAGTGTAGGGCTTCTCTGACAAGATCTTATCTTAACAGACCTCCAAGAAATGAGCAAATTAACGTGAATAGAATATTCTCGTGTGTTGTTTTAGTTACTTTTTGTAGTTGTGACAAAAAAAAGAAGTAATGGAAGAGTTGACTTTGGCTTACAGTTCCAGAGGATTAGAGTCCACAGTGATGGGGATGGTAATGGCAACAGGTGGCAGAAACAGGAAGCTAGCTGATCGCATTTCTGTTTAGAAAACTGAAGTGAGCAGAGGCTATAAACACTGGGAGTGATGGACTTGCTCCAGCAAGGCTTTGTGTCCTCCAAGGCTTCACAACTTCCCCAAACAGGGCCAGCTGGAGAGCAAGTGTTCAAATACCTGAGCCTAGGAAGAAACATTTCTCATTCAAACCACTCCACACACGAACAGCAAACAGCATTAGTGTAAGGGGTCTGAAGCAGAGCTGGCCTCACGAGACCAAGCAACAGCAAACAGCAATCCAAAGCAACTGGAGACAGAAACTGGATGAGGACAGTAACAGGGCAACAAGGCCTTCTGGGTAGTCCTTCCACCTGCCTGGTGACTCCTCAGTGCCTACAGAGTGACAGGGCCAGTTAGATGAACCTTGTGGGCAGGACATTATCAAGAATATTTAATATATGCAGCCATGTATAAGGACTTACCAGTTTCCTATAGTTTCTGTAACAAGCTAACCAGCTTAACATTTGAAGAGACAAAAATTTGTGTTCCTGGGCAACAATGCCCAGAAGACAGCCTGCTCAGCGATTTCTTCCTTCCTCCTGCTTTCAAAGCCATGGAGGAAGTGTGCTCAACGTTCCCCTTAATTCCTGTTCTTTCTTCCACTCTAAAGAACACCTGCTGAGCTGGCATGATGTAGCTCACAGGGTAAAGATGCTTGCTGCCAAGCCTGACAACATGAGTTCAGTTGGAAGGACCAGCATGATCAAAGGAGAGACCAGAATCCAGAGAACACAAATTGTGCACTGACTTCCACATGTTGCCCTGTGGCACATATGCTCACACGTATATGTACACATACTCAAACACAAATAAATAAATGCAATCAAAATACTTCTAGAAGTTCTGGTGTTAGAGTAGGCCCATCCTAATGATCATCCAGGACAATTTTAAGGTCAACTGATCAGCAATTTGAATTATCCCTTTCCCTGTATATAACAACTTATTCATATAGGTTCTGTCTTTAGTTAGGATTTCTATTGCTGTGAAGAGACACTATGACCACAGCAACTCTTATAAAGGAAAACATTTAATTGGGGGCTGGCTTATAGTTTCCAAAGTCCCGTCTATTATCATCATGGCAGGTAGAAAGGCAGCATGTAGGCAGGCATGGTGCTGAAGAGGTAGCTGACAGTTCTACATTTTGATCTGCAGGTAACAGGAAGTGAACTGTTTCACTTGGCGTAGCTTGAGCATAGGAGTCCGCAAAGCCCACCCCCACAGTAACACACTCTTCCAACAAGGCCACACCTCTCCAATAAAGCCACACCTCCTAATAGTGCCACTCCTAATGGGGGCCATTTTCTTTCAAACCAGCACACGTTCCAAAGTTTGCTTGTTGAAATAGACCTCTTGGGAAGAGAAAACTTACTCTGCCTACCAGAGTGTTTGACTTAAAGGCAGAGATTTCAAAACTTCTGGAGGTAACACATTGGGAGCCCTTACTACCTACCTCTTCTAGCTGTTAATTTCTGGCTGTGGCCTGCTCTTTACTCTTCCCCACACATCCAGTGCAATATAAGAACACAGTAACGTCTTCACTGCATTTTCTGCCTCTTTAAGGGCCTGGCTTATAGTAAAAGTGAAGGAATCTCTCTTCATTCCTACTCACACCCATCTCTTGGGACGTAAGTCCTTGTGGAAGTCTTTCCATAGGCTGGAACCGATATTCCTTAGCTGTTTTCAAAGACCATTTGTGGTGACCATTGTAAGAGCTCATCTTGTTCTTATTTTCTTTTTTCCCTCCAGTCTTCCATGTCCTCCCATAATGCTCAGTAGTTCTCAGCCCTGAGCTGCTGGGCAGCAATCTCCTGTTTCTCCAGTCCACTGCCCTTTCCAGCTCTTTGGCTTGTACATAGTCTGCTTTGTAACTCTGCTCAGAAAGTATCACCTCCATCACTGTTGGACAGTGTTTCTGCTGCTGTCAGCACCCAGCATTCCAGAGTTGTCACAATGCAAAAAGCTGTGCTTCAACATGTTTTGGGCACGTTCTCCCCCAACAATGTATCGTGTGTTTATCTTAGGGTTTAGTTATTGAGGGCTCTGGAGCCTGTCTTAACAAAGTTTATATAACAACAAATGTGCTATGATTCATCTACTGTGAAAGACAAGACTATTCTTTCTCACTAATATGATGATGTCAACAATACTTTATTCTCCATATTGCCTGAATCATGATGGGAGGGTAGCATAAAAATGGTCAATTTAAAAATTACCTGAAAAGTCCTCACTTATGAATGTATTTATACATAGCTTAGCTGTTACACCTTTTTTTTTTTTTTTTTGATTTTTTTGAGACAGGGTTTCTCTGTGTAGCTTTGCACCTTTCCTGGATCTCGCTCTGTAACCCAGTCTGGCCTTGAACTCACAAAGATCCGCCTGGCTCTGCCTCCCGAGTGCTGGGATTAAAGGCGTGCGCTGCCGCCGCCGCCGCCGCCGCCGCCGCCGCCACCACCATCCAGGCTACACCATGTTTTTAGCCACAAAGTATTTACAGATGAAAGACTCACCACCAAGGAACAAGTTAACTAAATTGAAGCACTATGAAACACTGTCCTGCAGTTAAAAAGAGTCTCCACATTACAATGCATTCCTACGTAAGACTGTTGTCTCAGGTGACCCATTTAATAGCTGTGCTTTCTGGAGAGGTAGCTAAGGGCTGGGGGCACGAAGGGAAAGGTCTGTTTTCAGTTTACTTAATTCATCCTGGTTCTAGCCTGACATCTAACCACGGAGGGACGTATCCCGTCCAGTAATCTGTCCCCATGAAGTCATCCTCTGGGTTGGTGCATGGGCTCCAGGGATGTCAACTGTTTCCTTGGGGAACATGCACTTGATTTAAAATAGAAATAACCCCTTTCCCTTTACATTTTATTTCTTTTTTTTTCTTTTTTGGGGTGATGGTGGTAATGGAGGAGGGAAACATTGAAGTTTCAAGTAAGTAAACTGAGTACCACACACAGGCTTCTCTTGAAATCAGGTTTCAATGTATAAGGCACTAAAATAACAGATGACGGAGAGATGGGAGGCTCCAGCTATGAGTGGACGAAATGGTGGTGATATTATGGTAAATAATGCCACTACTTAAGCAAGTGCACCCAATTAGTTCCCATTCGATATCTTATAATTATAACGTAAGTCTTGGTCCCACAAGAGGGTCTTGTGTTTGCGTGTTTTCTTTTAGAGACAGAATCTCTCATTATGTAACTCAGGATAGCATTCATTTGTACCCCTGATCTTCCTGCCTCCACCCCCTGAGCCCCAGGAGAGCTCCCCATCCCCCAGGATTGAATTATCCTTATTAATAGAATAGGAATATGTATTTACTTTTTTTTAAATTAAAGACAGAAGCAGGGGAAAAATCCAGTATAGGTTTCCAACCAGAAAGCTTGTGGTTCAAATGACAGGTACTTTTGAATTAAAGAAATATGACACAAAATGCCCAACATGGCCTCAGTGGAAGAGCTCAGGTTGAACCCAAGAGCCTGTGGGTAGGATGATGTATCCTTATGTGATATGGTGGGGACAGCTCCCATTGGCCAAGGATGGAGGAGTCAACTGAAGCCACAGATCCGCTCACAAACACACCACACATCAGCAAAAGGGATGCAAAATGAACCAAGTTTATTTTCTGCAATAGTTTCTGTAAATTACAAAGATAAAAATGCTAAACTACAGCATATATCTTTTCAATATTTAACCAGAATACTTGTAATAAATATGCATCCTGAAACGAGAAAGAGGCTACACTTTGTCAGGCATCCTAGAAAATGTCTCAAGTTTTACATTCTGCAGCATTTCTGTGGGGGCACGCGGGCAGGTGGTTCTGTAATTTCTTAAGTTCTGAGACAAATGCTTTCACATTTCTTTGGAGCATTTTGAGAAATGCTTAACTATAATCAGACAACTTAAGAAAAGGAACGCCACCAACCTAAAGCCACTTTTGTTCTGCTGGCACTGGTCTTTACCTAATACAGATGAACACAGGTAGTTCAGCGAAGCGCCCGCAGAGCCCAGGCGGCCCTGGAGTCCACCGAACCTGTCAGAGTTGGGCCTCCACGTTTGGTCATGTACTAAAAGTTCTGTATTCCACTCATCTCCCTCATGATCAGGGGGCCATAAGAGAAGCTGCAAGCAACTCAAACATTTTTTAACCTGAAAGTCAACAGACATATATCCCCCTCCCCAAGACTTTTGCTATGCACCATGTTACCACGTTGGAACATTTCCTTTCAACATGGAGAAACTGATTGCCACTAACAGTCCTTCCAGGAATCACTTATGGGTGATAGAGTTTTGGGTGTATCCAGTTATTCAACTGGCAAAAGAAGGACTTACTGTGTTCAGAAGTAGACTACAGAAAATTCTTGGGGTGCTGGTGGTAGCTCAAATTGAGTTTGGAATATATAACTAACCTCTGCTATAGCTGAAAACTTTTGAGGAAAAAGTTACATTTTAAGAAGTCTTAAGCATGGTTATCTAAAATATTGTTAATCTAATCTAATCTCACTTAGGGGTTTAGCTATGAAAACATCTTTGAAAGCCAATAAAAATATACAGAAAAAAAAACACTTTTAAAAAAATTGAGGTTAAAAACCATGAGGCATTTCTTTTGGCTGTAAACACATAGTTTACTGTCCTTTGTTGAAATACAAATATTTGGATTTCCTGAGCTTCGTGGATAACAGCAGGAGGCAAGTTTGCATAGAAAATTTGCAGTGTGTTGATTTACTTCAAAACCTTTAAGGAAGTTCACCCTTCGATTAAAACTTTATATTGCAGTTAACAGTCCTCAGCAAACTGAGACCTTTAAGGAGGGCAAGGAAACGTAAGGCAGCTGGAGGGAAAAGATGGAATTTGAGTTTTTAAATCCGCAGGATAAAGGATCTTAAACACTCACTTCTAATGTTATTCTAATTTGGTTAGCAATTAAATCATGTTTGGGGAATGGAGGGCAAAAATGCTGTCCCACGCTGAATGGCACAGCCCCAAGGCAGAGATCCAGGACTATTCACTGCATGGAGGCCTCGCAGATCACTCAGGGAAGCCGCTCCGACGGTCAGGGACCAGACTTTGGGGCATAGCTGAGGAGGTGGCAGGGACCTTCACCTCCGCTGGTCTGAGGAACCTACGCAGTTCTGAGGAGGGTATCTTCGTCTGGGACTAGTCCCCAGAAACCTCTGGAAAAGAAGCTATGCTGGGTCACAGTGCACACCATGGATAAAAACAATGGCAGTGGTCGGCGACAACTTCAGGTCTAACACAAAAAGAGGCCACTAGGGGCAGTGTCCCGCCAAGGACTCCGTTTTACTTCTTCTGGGACTGGTTTTTACACATGGTGAGTATCTGCTTCAGGACTCTCTGGACATCCTCATCCATTTGGCCCTAGAAAATCCACACAGAAGATATGCATGAGAACTTCATCTACATCGTGGCACCTTCTCCCCTGGGGAGTGAGATGGCTGAGACTCGGCCTTCTGCTTACTCCCCTCAGTGTTCAGAAGAATGTCAGCACTATCAACTCTCACATTTCCATGATGAGTGGAGTCAAAGAGAGTTCCCTGGTTTTCCTTTGGGGGATGCCTACGTCTACCAAAATCCTCAGCAAAGGGTAACTGGGGTCTTAGCTGTATGAGCCCAGCTAGCCACAAAGCACAAGGACAAGGCAGTGCTGAGGGCCATCTGAAGATATTGGCATCCCTATTAAATAATGCCTGCATCTTCTTGATAGGGAAAAGCAGATACATCTTTCATAGTGATATTCCTTCTCAATAAGTAATGAATCTACCACCAGCAGGCAAGGCACAGGCTTGGCACACGTAAAAGGCATTTGAGGTTTCGCAGAAAGGAGACTCCTCTAATTCCAGTCCATTCTGTTAGCCCAATGGTGGCACTCTGGGCAACACCTGCTGTCCCATTTATTATTAGTTTGATTTGAGACAGGGTTGCATGGGAACCGGGCTGGTCTCAAACCCACTATGTAGCAGAGGATGTCAGCGAACTCTTGGTCCTCCTACCTCTACCTCTAAGTCTGTGGATGACAGGTGTGTGGCACTGCTTGGCCAGGCTGACACATTTCTTTGGGATGCCACTGGTGTTATCATACCTGAACAGCATATAGAAGATGCATTCTGTAAACTGATATGACCTCCTGGTGTTGTTTCTTACATTCCTAGAAAGAGACAATATGACATTATTAACGAGCTTGGAGGGGGGCGCCTTTAAAGAAGAGAATATTAAGTATGAAAAGCTGTCACTCAGGTGCTGCACATCTGCTTCTATATGTTAGCACAGGAAGCTTCTAGATGTTTTTCTAAATACTTCTAGATGTGTTTTTAAATACTTGTCACTATTCTAGTTATCTTGATATGTCAAAGCTAGAAGAATAGTTGTGGGCAAAGTACTTATTACAATCCCAATTTAAAAACCACACATACATACATACATGCATACAAAGATAGTCACTATAAGTGAATGTTGTAAAAAAAATAGATGAAAGGCAAAATGAAATTATTTCAGAGTTGAGTTATGGGTAAACTTCATATTAAGAGTTTTAAAAGAGTTTTTTTTAAAAAAGATTTTAAGTTATTTTTAATTTGCAACTTTATAATTATGAAATGTTTGTTCACTTAGGTGAAAATAAAATTTATTCATTTTTAAAGGTGTTACTGTCTACAGATAATGCTGTGTAGCCCCCAAGGAGTTCAGCTATATAGTAATCTGTCCCAAGAACACAAACAAGGAACAGTCTCAATGTTCTTCACTACCGCGGCTGCTACACTCACTGCTCCTTGTTGAGTTAGAACTACATCTCCTCCCAACTCCCCGTGTTCTAAGAGAATGAGTCCCTTCTCTTTATTATGAAAATGAAAACCATAAAATATGGATCACCTAAAAACCTACAAATGTTTACCAATACCCTTCCTCCCCTCACCACCAGGGCCAGAATCTGAGCTAGCTTTCCTTGGGCCAACTCCAAGGAGCTGATGTTCACGCCACAAGGCTGGTTTGAGACAGTCTTCCGGTGTAGCTCAGGCTAGCCTGGGACTCACCATGCATCCCAGGCTGGCTTCAACTTCACAGTGATTCTCTTGCCTGAGCCTCCTGAGTGCCAGGATTTACAAGTGTGCGCCACCACATCCGGCTCCACGTCCTCCTTCACAAGCTTCCCTTCCATCCCTATTTCTGTCAGCACTTGGTTGTCTTTAATATCCGAGTGAAGGATCCAGCCAACACCCCAGCCTCTCACTCACATCCTCATCAGCTTTATAACGTGTCTACTCATTTGCATGCTCCTAGTCCGGTCTCTGTCATTCCCACCTCTGAATCTTAGCAGGAAGCACCCTCCTCTCACCACACTCCTCTAGATGGGGCGTTCCAGCCCCACTGGACACCTATCTGCACCAGCAGTCTGCTTTAATCCAGATCCCATCGCACCATTCCTTTGGAAAGGTTGTTGCCAGGGTTCAAAGGGCCACCTAAATGACACGTCTGTAAACGGCAAATCTTGCAAATGCCATTAAGGACTCAAGAGATGAAGAGGGAGGATTATTATAATCTGAGTAGCCTTCAAATGGAACCACAGGTCTCCTAAAAGAGTAGCAAGGAAGTCAGAGGTGGAAAAGAGGAGGTAACAGGATAAAAGCAGAAGACGAGGTGATGTACCCTAAAGGTGGGCCAGGTATTATATGAGCCCTAGAAGGCAGGGGGCATCTAGAAGCTGGCAGCCAAGGAGATGAATGCTCCGTTTAGTCTCATGAAGGAGCAGCCCTGCCATGCTGTGATGGTAGTCCAGTGCAACTGATTTTCAGCGTTCTGATCTCTAGAACGACTTTGTCAAAAAACAAGTTTGGAGTTTGTTGGAATAGCCAAGGGAAACAAAAATCGAGTGCGCCTTCCTGGGTAGTAAAACAAGCAGAAAAAGCAAGAAGCAACTTGAACTATGTAGATACACAACTACCTGATCCCGACCCCCTAATAACAAGATGCTCTCAGCACTGCCATAGCTAAGGGGTGACCATCCCAGAAAGAGGAGAGTGACAAAGTAGTGGATGAGGGACATGAGCATCCTCTCGCTGTCGTGACTTTCCCTGCCCAGGGATAGAGACATCTACCCATCTCATTGCACCGACTCCTAGAGCGTCTCCCAGCGTCTCCCTCACTCACTCTCACCAACAAGTCCTGAATCCATTCCTCACTGGAGCATCTTTTGGTCATGGCCAGCTAAGTTGGGACGCCACTTGCTCCCCCCACCCCCAGCCCACCGCAGGCCGAGAACAGAAGCCCACTCACAGTCAGCTGGTTCTGCAGCTGTTTGACCTGCTGCTGTAGCACTTCCAGCTGCTGGGTCTGCCTCTTGGATGAGCTTGTGGAGTAGGAGAGCTGGGAGAGGCTGTTGAGGGCCTCCTTCAGTTTCATGACTTCCTTCGACATCTCATTTATCTAGTGAGAAAGAAAAAGTCAACCAGTAGGCTAGTAGTTTGTCTACAAAAGCAACATTCTGGATATTTCTAGGCCTCCAACATTAGTCATTTCTTTGACTCTCTGGTCCAATTCCTTTTTTTTTTATTTCTTAAAGGAAATCCGTAAAATAAAGCATAACAAATTCAGACAAACCAGTTAAGACCTTGGCTTTTGTGCCATTCAGATAAGGCCTATTGTGTTTTAAGTGCATGTAGCTTTTAAGGAAAGCTACGATGTCAATGTTCTTTTCTTACGTTAGAAGGGGTGCAGTAGACATTAAATACATTATTTGACCAAATACAGATTTGTCACATTTGTCTTGTGTCACAGAGAACGTTAGCTCAAAGTCAAATACTCAGAGGCTTAGCTGCTAGACTGCTTCTTCAAGATCTTTGTGTGTCTCATCCACTGTGAGCATGTCCATCATCTTCCACTGAGATGGACAGTCCGTTCAAGTGACACCTCTGGACAGCTTGCTTTAAAGTGAAAACAACTTCTCTTGTCACCGCACCAGTCCCCAGGTGAAAAAACAAACAGGGTTCCAACACCATTCAGAGCATAAGGGGGTGGGGGTGCAGAGAGAATTCAGGTACACAACGATCCTCAACTCCCTTCTTTTCGCTCCCTTCCATCCTCCGTGCCACACCCAGAATCATCTCTAAATTGCTGGCTGCCCTCACTTGTCACTCTCTATCTGGAGACAGGTCACACTTGTCCTGGATCCCTAATACTAGCTGTGCTGGCTAGGTCTACGTCAACTTGACACAAGCTAGAGTCATCAAAGAGGAGGGAGCCTCAGTTAAGAAAACACCTCCATAAGACCAGGCAAGCCTGTAGGGCATTTCGAGAAGAATCACAGCAACAGCAACCCTAAGACACTAGTAACGAGTGTTAATTATTTAATATTTCTAATTTGCATGTGTGTGTGTGGTGTGTGTGAGTACACATGCATTTTTGGGGTTTTAGGTTAGTCTTTTTAAAAAATATCCCAAATACTTTTTGTTTAAAAGACAGAGTCTTACTATACATCTCAGGGTAGCCTTCAACTTCTAATCCTACAAGTGCTGGGACTGCAACAGACAGGCACAGAGCCTCTGAGTATTCACACAAGTTGTCAGCAACCAATTCCACAAAGGTTTAGTTGAGGAAAATCTGAAGGGCCTTATTAGGACTTCGTGCCAGAAACCCAAGAGCAAGGAACGTTCACCGACCTTTTCGTCCTTATCCTCCTCCAGCTTTGAAGAGGTCTCGGAACATCTTTTCATCCCTTCAAGATCTTCCTGAGCTCGCTGCAGTTTCTGCAGAAGTTCAGTTATTTCCTGCTCTTTGGATTTCAAGAGAGTCTGGATGTTTTCCTTTTCCCTTTTCACCTGAGAGACCTCGCTTCGGACCTGGGCGACCTCTGAATGGGCTTTCTCTTTCTCTTTTACCGAATCCTTTAATTTGGTTGCTAACGCGTTTACTTCATTCTCTAAGGATGCCTGGAGCTTTTCATAGGAAGACTTGGGGACCATGGCATCGGTCATAGCAGCTTTCTCTTCCAGGAGTTGCTTCTCCAGCCTTGTGACTTCTGCTTCCTTGCTCGCAAGGTGCTCTTTGAGGTGGCTCACTTTCTCTTCCATCTCCTTGGCAGTGGTCCGCAGCGTGGTTATCACTTGCAGATGTTCGGTGATGGACACCGAGTTCTCCTTGTGAGCGTCTACGAGTTGTTTGAGCTGAGTCAGCTCGTTCAGTACTCTGGAATACTGGGACTTCATTTCGGACAGTGCTTCTTCAGCTTTCGCCCTGGACACGTTGGTCACGTGCATCAGCCTCTCGTGTTCGGCTTTGTGGATATACTCAGCTGCATCCTCTAGAGATTTCCTCTTCCTATAATCCTCCAGCTCGGCCTGGGCCTCTTTGTACAGCTGCGACAGTTCACTCACCTGTTTATTGAGTTCATCTATCATCCTGTTCATTGCCTCTTTCATATCCCCAGCGTCATCAGGGGCTTCCGGCGGCGGCATCTGACTTTTCAGTGTGTCTTTTAGTTTCATGATTTCTTCCTGGGCCTGCTGGTATTTCTCAAACAAAAATGCCTTCTCCTTATTCATATTCTCAATGACAGAGCAGTATGAGCTTTTCATCTCCTCACATTCTTCTGCTGCAGGTGGCTTAGTAGCCCCAGCCTTCTCCTTCTCCACGAGCTTCGTTTCTAACTCCCTCACTCTCTCTCTATTCCTTTCACTCTCTTCCAGTGCATTCTGCAGGTCCTGCCTCAGTGTGTCCACGTCAACATTAGCGACCCCGGCCTCTCGGAGATGTGAACAGCCATCTGCACTCTCCTGGGAGAGGAGACCCAGTTTCATCTGCTTCTGAGCGCTGAGGACTTCTTTCATGGCCTCCTCATACTTGCTCTGGGTTTCTTTGAGTTTCTGACTGAGGTCAGAGCCATTCTCAGAAATCTCTGTGCTGTTCCCGCACATCAGGTCTGTCCTCTGGGACTGGAGTTCGGCCTGTAGCTGTTTCTTCTCTGCTTCAGAACTCTCCAGTTTCTTCTGCAGGTCTAGCAAAGTGTCTTGTAGCTGCTGGATTCTGACATCGCGGTCCACAGGGGATGTCCCCACAGGACGTTCTACAGATGGAGATGATTTGGCGTCTGAGGAAGGGGCTTCACTCGACTTGTCCAGGGATGGGGCCAGGTCAGTCTGAGTGGAATGGAAAGAGTCAAGGCTTAGGTCTGCTTCGGCCTTCTCGGGTGATCTGGCCTGGGAAAGACACAAGGAATGCAACACTAAGGAGGGGCCAGGTGTGCACACATCTGGGATGTGAGGGGCAACCTGAAGTTTAGGGCTGGAAGAGCAGTGCCATCATTTTCCATGTGTTCTCCAGGATCATGAAGACACATGGTCTGGGGCACCAGAGCCAGACTTACAGGGCATCTTATTCTGTGTTCCATTAGATCACTTCTGTATTTTTAAAACACTGTAAAACCTCCAATTCAAATTTTTCCTTTGTTTCTCCTATCATTTCAATTGCCCAAGGCACTGCATAGTTATTTTTCATCAGGTTCTTAAGAAGATTAGAGATCAATTTTACTAAACCAATGGCTACTATTATATACATTAAAAATTTTGAGCATAAAATTTCAGTTCGTAAAGGTCTAAACAAGGAGGTAGGGAGAAGGATAGGGAGGAGGAGGGGGAAAGAGGGATGTGTAACCAAAACTCAGGAGACATGAAAAAGTCACGTGGAAACCTTTTATTTATTTTACAAGCCTATTAAAAATTATAATCTGAAAAATAAAGGAGTTTGAATACAGGTGCCCTCCAGGAATGGCTAACGCTCCTGTCAGAAGCAATGGGTTATTAAAAAAAAATCCCAGAGCTAGCTGTATGGGGTATCTCCCTATGAGTTCTGTGTGGGGTATCTCCCTATGAGTTCTGGGTGAGCGAAGTCCCAAGGCCCCCAAAGCAAAACAGGTTATTGACATGGCTCCTGACCTTGATAGTGAGACTCAGTTGCCAAAAATACTTGGGTTACAGGATAAGGAGACACCAAGTTGGAGCTGAGGTGGAAGTTTCCTCCCTACTGGCTAGCTTCACAGCCAGAAGGTGCTATGTAGGCTGATGGGGAAGAAAAGTCATCAACAATCTTACCCATTGGTGAACTCTGTGAGTATCATAACGACCCGTCAGGAAAGATGTGTTGCCAAGAGCAACATGGGTATGACGTTTCTAATTGGATTTGAGGCCCACTTTTCAGTGGGAAACTTATACTCGGTCTGTAAACATGGTCAAGAGCCCCATGACTCAGGAAGTCATATGCTCCAGGGGTAGAGGGAATCCACTACTATTGTTTAGTTTTGCTAAATGGTCACAGCCTCAATACTCATGTCTATACACAGAGATTCGTCACAGGTTAGTGCCATGCCCAGTCTTCATCAGAGAAGCTTCTTATTACAGGCGGGTGACAGTTAATACAGAATCCATAACTGGACACAGTGCAAGGAGTAAGTGATGGTGGACGGACTGTCCATCCCAAAGTGGACATCTGTAGCACCTCCTTCTAAAGCTCGGGGAACATCACGGAAGGAGCAGAGGACAGGCTTGAGCCAGATGGGGAGAAGTGCAGCGAAAAGATGTCTTCTGGCCACGAAACAGCCACAAGTAGGAACTCACTGCAGCTGTGATTATCTGCACAGGACCCGCACAAGGTGGGGCCCTTCACCATCACTATGGGTGGAGAGGGCCCATGAGGCCCCACCCCTTCCCGAGGGACTACTGGCTGTTTTGGATTGTTGGGGGAAAGGGGTACCATTTTTTCCTTCAGTGGTATAACCACTGATAAGTTGCTCTCGGTCCAGTAAATAACTTTCTACCCAAGCTTCAGCGGAAACTATAGTTAAGATCCGCGGGTCATACACAGAAGACACCAGGGCAGGAGGGAGATTCGGTTGGGAGGAGGGTTTCAGCAGGAGAGGGAGGGGGATGGGAGAGGAATGGCAGGGTCAAAGTGACCAACTATATTAACATGTAAAACAGTCAAACAACAAGAAAGCAAGATTTAATATACATCAAAATGGAAATATAAAATTTATAAATTGAAAACTGCCATATAAACATCCTGTGTATATCATATACATATATCTAGCCTATATTTAAATTTTATACTTGTCCTTATACTTATTAAACTATACACAATTATACATAACTTAGCAATTTCCAGAAATAGAATTAGTGAACACTTAAATAATCTGAAACCATTAAGGGTTTTAAAGCTAATTATATAGGAAAAGAAGAAACTTACGTGGCTATTTAAAACAAAATATACTTGACTAGCCTTGAACACACCAATACTTGACAGAATAGCCTGTGTCGACGATATATTTACCAACCTGTAATTTATCTTGTAACTCTTTATTGTGTAAGGTAAGGGAAGCGACTTTTGCTTGCAATAGGGCAAGAAGATCTTGTTGGTCAGCTTCAGAGCTTACATCCAATAAGCTGTCAGCACCTGGTGGGGGGTGGCGGGGGGAGAAAAGGAATGCAAAGCAATATTTTTAAACATGAAAGTGTTTTCCCTCTAACTCCTGCCCAGCTGGGCAGAGGGATGGCAGCTTTGAGGTGCTAGCGTTTCCGTCCTGTGGAATCGCAAGCGCACCACTACAGAACACTGGGAACTGGCAGCTTTGGACACTTTCCACTCGCTCCAAGGACCCTATCTCCAGGGGTTTTCACCCCGCTCTGTGCCTCCCATGTCCCAGCTGTGAATCCTTTCAGGTCTCTCGGTATCTGGTTTACTTCTTACCCTGATAATTCAGGCTTTATCGCCTTGCTTGGAAACTCTGCAGGTGACTCCCCAACAAGTCTCTGCCCCCGGCCCCCAATAAAATGGGGCCTGCATGGGGACACCAGAACAGCCCTCCAAGCATACAGAGGATGGGTCATTTCTTTGGATCAAGTGTTTAAATTATTCTCACTCCGAAAACTATCCGTAGGTGGGTCAGAACCTCTCTGTCTGTCCCAAATCTGCTTCTTCAGGTTTATGACTTACAGACCTTTCCTAGACTCCCATTGTTCCTCAGACTCGAGGTTTCTCCCGTGTTCTGTAGATACTCTCAGCACACATTTGATCTCTCACGTTCATCGACAAAGGTCCACGCATGCATCCTTCGGGACACATGTCAAGCTTCTCCTAGGATGGATTCACTGACCAATCTAGCATGAAATGATCTCTTTTGAATCCTACCAAATTTACCATTGTTGGTAAATCTCAATTTTTAAATGTACTGGTTTTTACACCAAAAAAAATTTAAAGGATTACAGAGCAGAGTGCTCACTGAGACAAGGGAGACACTGAGTGCTCACTGAGACAAGGGAGACACTGAGTGCTCACTGAGACAAGGGAGACTCTGAGTGCTCACTCAGACAAAGGAGTACCCTTGCCTCAGAACGTCACTATGCACTGCTCTCTTTATAAAGTCTGTATGATGGAAACATCTTCCTGGTGCTGCTGCTTAGTGACCAAGCTGTGTTACCTCCTGACCACAGCTCCCTGGACACTGCCCAGGGGCCAGAGGTGACAGACCACACTCTGCACACAGCACATTGTTTATGATTCTCATTTTATCACAGCCATTTAAGGCAGAGATGAAAATCATAGTTTTGATGGATGCAAACATGGTGTTTCTTCACAGAAAAGCTTGTGTTTGCTAAGGCACTGGTCTGATGTCTGAGGAGTGTGTGACAGTTTGAATCCCCTTGACAGGAAGTCTGGTGGGTGTCCATTTTCTTGGGAGATGAATTAACAGAATGAGAGCATAAGAACAATGCTAGGCAACCGATATTTAAATTACTTCTATGACACATAGATCAGCGGTTTTCAACCTTCCCAATGCTGCCAACTTTTAATATACAGTTCCTTATGGTGTGGTGACCCCAACCAAAAAATCATTTTCATTACTACTTCACAACCATAATTTTTGTACTGTTATGAATAATAATGTAAATATCTGCTATTTCTGATGGTCATTCAACTCCCAAAGGGGTTGTGGCCCACAAGTGAGAACCACTGAAATAGATGCTTTTAAAAGTATCCAATGTAACATTTATTCAGTTATATTAATTGATTTCTACCAGGAATTGGAAAATTTCATTTCTAAAGTCTATAAATCTACCCATACATGAAATGTACAATATTCTAAGAAACTGAATGTTGGAGCAAAGGGGACCTTTGAAATCATATAGAATCATTTAAATATAATTCTAAAGATATTATATTCTTTGAGACACGGTGAGTCTAGATATCTGCATCTCCTTTAGAAAGATTTTTTTTCTTTTTTCTTATTGAGAGAGGGTTTTACTACATAGCACAGAGCAGTCTCAGAATTGTAGTCCCAGGAGAGACTTTTTTTAAAGACACAACTGATTGACCCCTGTCTTGGTGAAGGCACAGGAGCGGTATTGGATTGACTGGCACTCTCTTTGTCTGGGTTCACTTAGAGCCCATGGCGTTAAAGTCAGCTGGTGGTAGTAGCATGGTCCCTTGGTGATGTAACTTGCTGCTTGGATGCCACCAGAGTATGGTGCTGTGAGCTGTGAGCCTAAAACTCATGGACTGCATCTCAAAACAGTGCACATGTGTAAGATACATACACGGACCACAGTAATCTGAAGATAACTTGTAACACACTAAATATTAAGATCGAAGCAGGTCTAATAGCCACCATACTTTTTATGGGAGGTACTACAAATGGTACTGGAACGTGTCTACAACAGCAAGGTAACAGGACATTGTGAGTCCTCGTGGCACTGTCCCTACTCTGCTAACGCTATTCATAATTGGAGAGAATACTAGTCGATCGTGACAAATGCATTTTTTTTTTTACATCCAAACTTAATTCTTTAACATGTAAATGAAGGCCCTTTTCAGTAGAGAGAGCATAGCCTATGCATTGCTGGTGGTCCTGGGCTGGGCACGGGCCGGTTCTCACAACCTCACACAGAGTGCGTGACTGGCCTCTGCTCTCTTTGTGGAAACACGTGAGAAACTAAAGGTGCTCAAAGGAAGGAAAACCAGTTTTCCCGACCTTACCTGTAGTGCTGTCGCTCAGTCTGTCCTTGTTTTCTTGTATAGAGCTGATCTCAGCCTGCGTGTAGAAACACAAAGTGACGTGTAAAGAGTTCCCCTCAAGGTGCTCATTACACGTAAGAATCAAGCCACCTTCCCTCCTTGAGTGGAAGCGAGAAGAGCTTGTGCTACTTTACTAATAAAATGGGTAGAAAAGTCTCACAGAAAAACAGTTAAAATATACGCAAATAACATACGCAATTACTTATAAAAGTATAATTTTGAAAATATCAACAACTTTCAGAATGTTTTTCAGAAACTTTATCTAGTTACATTTTAAATTATAATTTATGTAGCAGTTTGTGGGGTTCTAGAGAGGCTCCCTAGTAAGACCTTACTCAAAGACAGAGAATCTAGCTGAGCTTGCTTTACCCAGCTGGACTGCATAATGAGATGATTTGGCCATGGACGTGGTTACCAGGTGTTTTGAAGGGACTACACTTGGCTGTATGTTGTGCTTTGATTTTGAAAGAGGGAGGTCTTTTGCCCCTCCCCTGGGCAGTGTATAAAAAGCACATTAGACTAAATCTTGAGGAGATTGGGTATTGACCCAGGGCCCTCCAGAAGTTATCCTGTGTCTCTGTCTTTCTTGTCATCGCCTTCTATCTGTCTATCTATCATTTCCTCATTCCTCTCTCCTCCACCCAAGAACCCTTCGACAGGTCAGAGCTGGACTCCGACAGACTAACAGCAGTTCTTTTCTGGACCATGTCCTAAGACCTGAGATAGCAAAGTTTACTTTCATAATAAAGTTAAACAGAAGTAGTATTTATCTGGGTCGTACACTGACTACAGTATATTAAACAGAATGAGTTTTTTGTAGTTGTAATTTGTTAAATTTTCTGCTATTAATCTTTTATTTTTTAAAGATGTGATAATAAATAAGAGCTGTCAGGGAAGACAAAGGTAACTTTGTAAGGGAATAAACATTTTCATGGTCTTCGGTTGAGAGTTAACTCCCTTAAAATTTTGTTTGTCCCTGAAAATCTGTCCATACCCTACAAAACTTCTTAGAACTTTAAACAGACTCTCATTTCAAACATTCAGTAATTTGCCAGAAATCACCCTGTTTCATCCAGATGAGCTACAGATGCGGATAGGAGAGGTCCTTTCCCAGCAAGGGACTTTTCTCCATGTTAACAGAGTGGCTTATCTTTAGAAAAGATAGGCTGTCCTGTCCTTCAAACACAAACTATACGCATGTTCTTCAGCTTTCTAAGGTACACGTTGTAAACCGCTTCCAATGGTAGCTGACAACTTCACGAGACTGTAACGCATCCACAAATAGAGGTACTCTGACAACCACAGATTTCCGTCCATCATCCCCAGCGTTTCCCTATCCCATCCAGTCTCAGCCCGCTCCATTCCCAGGCAGTCAGGACTCCCCCTTTTGCATTTTCTAAAGTTGCTATAATGGGATGCCATTCAGTAAGGGTATCTTTGTGGCTGGCTTTTTCTATCCATCATGATGATTTTCTATTATTGGTGCTGTTTCCATGGCATGCAGCTAGCTCATTCCTTCCAGTTATCATCGAGTGATGTTCTCTCATACAGATTATCACCTTTATCCACGCAATTATTGACGACATTTACAATGTTTTCAGCTTAGGGACAGTATGAATAAAGCGGTGACATTCAAGAATATGACTTGGTGTAGATATATATTGTCTTTGCTTGGGTAAGCACAGGGCTGGATCATACAGTAGGCACATATTTAACTTGTAACAAAATTGTCAAACATACAAATTATCTAACATTTTACAATCCCACCTGTAGAAAATGACAGGTCTAGTTCTACTGTAATACATGCTCAGCAACCCTCAGTTTTCTGAAACTTCAGCCATCCTAAGCAGTTGCCATTTTTAAAAGTCTTTCTTTGTCTTGCATTTTTTTTTTTTTTTAGAAATTAGAGTCTGTCTCACTCTTCAAAGTTACAATGGCATCACTGGCTGAAATGCATTGCTCCTGATTTTACAAAGCTCAGGCTAGGCATGAACTTTCTATTTACTGGGTTGGCACTGAACTTCTGATCTTTGTGCCTCTGTCTCTTTAACTTGGTACTTCAGGTGTATACACCACCACATTTGGTGGTATCCTTTTTCTATCTTAGTATCCAATACAGGATACTGTATTTCATGTACAGAATTTTTAAAAAAAATTGCTGTGGATATCGCTCTGTATAAATAAAATGCTGATTGGCCAGTAGCCAGGCAGGAAATATAGGCAGGACAAGCAGAGAAGAGAATGCTGGGAGCAGGAAGGCAGAGGCAAAGAGACACTGCCGGACGCCGCCATGTTAAGATACCGGTAAGCCACGAGCCACGTGGCAACTTATAGACTAATAGATATGGGCTAATTTAAGATATAAGAACAGTTAGCAAGAAGTCTGCTATGGCCAAACAGTTTAAATAATATAAAGCGTCTGTGTGTTTATTTTATAAGTGGGCTGCGGGACTGCTGGGGTTTGGCGGGAGCTGGAGAGAAACTCCAGCTACAAAAAATTATTGCCATTTTATAAATACCCAGTATTTTGGAATAAATGAGGTGAGTGCCACCAACCAGAAGTAGGTAATTTATATTACCTTCAGTTTTTAAGAATTTTACTTTTGGCTGGAGTGATAGTTCAATGGTTAAGGGCAGGTGCTGCTCTATCAGAGGACCTAGGTTCAATTTCCAGCACCCACAGGTTGCATCACTGTCTGGAACTCCAGTTCCAGGGGATCCAATGTCCTCTTCAGGCCTCCGAGGGCACTGCTTGTACATGGCGCAAAGATTAAATTAAAATTTTTAAACTTTAAGAACATTTTTAAATTTATATGCATTGCATGTATTTATTAGGTACACAGTGATGTCTTGATTTATATGATGAAGAATGGCTAAGCCATGCCAGTTAACATCGCTTCCTGTATTAAGTTTTTGGGGTAAAAATACCGAAAACTTCCTCTCAATAATTATTATTTTTGTGTCCACAAACATGTGTTAATACTGTGTGTGTTTCTGTGTGTGTGTGTGTGTGTGTGTGTGTGTGAGAGAGAGAGAGAGAGAGAGAGAATGAGAAGCAAGTGTACCACGGGGTGAGTATGGCCGTCAGAGGACAGACAGCCTTGGGTGTTCATCTTGCCTCTCCTTTGCTCCAGGGGCATTCTCCTATCTCCACCCCCCATCTCACCCTGAGAATGCTAGGATAACCGACCCATGCCACTACACCAAGCTTTATGTGCATTCTGGGGATCTGACCTCAGCTCTTCACTCAGCAAGTATTTCATCCACCGAGACATCTCCTTAGCCCTCGGCGATTTTAAAGGATAAAACACATTGTGAAGTCTAGTCACTGTGTTATTTAACAGAGTTCTTAAATCCCCCCCTCCTCAACAGCTTCCCAAATTCCTCAGTTTTTTCAACCCTAAGAACCATCATTCCAATCTCTGCTTCTCTGAGCTAAAGATTTTACATGAACTTCATTTATCTCTTATTTGAAAATTATTAGTAAATGTGACTTATTTTTTTTTTCTAATCCTTCTATGTTGTCCATGCCAGAAAAAAATAATCAAGGGGCTCTTCGTGATGAAATGTCATGAAACAGTGATTCAAAAACTTAATCTGTTTTGCCCAGTATTCTATAAATTAAAGCAAGGCCATCAGGTATCATACATACAGGAAGAAAATTGACCACAAAAAAAGGGAATACCTTGAAGGGTGCTTCGGCAAAAAATACTGATTCCTTTCCCGAAAGTGGTGTAGAAGTTATTGATCTTGGGGAAGACACATCACTCAACTAAAAAAGAAAAAGACAACCACTAATAAGGGATGGATCTTCAAAGTCCTGTCTTCCGTGGTGCTGAACATTCAGGGTTTAATCCCTATGGTTAAATCTAACGGCAGGTATGCATAGTTTCATTTAATTCAGGAGCAAACTCCTCAAAGCAGTCCAGTGGCTTCAGGTATTTCTGAAAGCTGTCAGGGTATAACTAAGCAATGCTACTATATTAGCTGCATTAGCTCTTAAAATCTATGTAACTCTACTGTGGGCTGAGAACACTACTAATGAATTTGCTAACACATTTGCAAGTGTTTCCCAGATTCCACAGTCCTTCCCACTATTTTATCTTTTTTTACATCCTTATGCTTGTCTTAGCAATAAAACCTATCCTGTTTCTATTGGATATTTCATATTTTTTGGTCTTGCTCTTCTAAAGTTGCTACTATGTACTCAGAAACAAAAAATTTTAATATTAGCCCTGTATAAATGTAGCTAAAAAAAAAGGGAAATAACATCTTAAGAAATGAACTAAAATCCATTACCATCTATGTCCTCACTAGCTAGCCATCCCCTCTGCACTATTAATATGAGCTAACCACACTCTGAGATTATCTTAAGCAAACACCTCTGTCCTAAAATTTTGAGAAATTTCCTTGAGACATAGATGAAACCTACAATATTCCAGCTAATAACTGACACTGCCCTTTATTCTGTGTGTGTGTGTGTGTGTGTGTGTGTGTGTGTGTGTGTGTGTGTGCGCGCACACGCGTGCATGTGCGTTCTTTTGGAGTGCCAACCAAGGGACTCACACATGCTAGGCGGGTGCTCTATCATTACGCTACATACCCAGCCCCATAGTCTGACCTGACAACTACTAAGGAAGATTTAGAATGTGTGCTTAGGGGTCAGTATTACAACATCCCTTTAGACCTGGACATAGAACGATGGCTTTTGGCTTTGCTTATGGTTCATTCGCTTTTGCTTTTTACCTGGGTAGGACTGATAGGAGGTGGTGGAGCTTTGCGTTTTTTTGGAGTTCCACTTCTTTCTGAGCTTATTTTAGAGACTTGATCATGCTGAAAGTTATCACAGTCCAAAGAATGGAGGTGGGTTAGTTATGTTAGGAAAGGCTGAGCAAGTAGCTGCAGCGAACACACGAGAACAACCTGACAGTTACGCAGTCCTAACTTCATCAAGTTCTGAAACACACTGCCCACAGAACAATCAGTACCATGCATGCGCTAAGTTTTCTTCCAGCAACCCATGCTTTCATGGCAAGAAGATAAAAAAAAAAAAAAAAAAGAAGAAGACAAAAGTGAATTAAGGTAGTGTGTGGAAACGGGAAAGGATGAAGACATGCCTACTAATCATCATTCAGAACCCAGAATGCATTCACAGTCAGCTTTCCCTCTTAATGCAGGGTGCTCCGCATCTCTATGGCCTGCTGCTTCCCTTCACCCCACCACCCCGTTTTGAAGGAATGAGGAGAAAGGAGAGCCTCGTATGCAAAGTTTACTGATAAGCAACAGTTAGCACATAATAAACCCAGGATTAAATATGGGCTTTCCATGACTTAAAAACCTCAGTGTATAAATACACAGAACAGCCAGATACACACAAAAAGCCAACATGCTTTTAGGAAAAACTCCCAATAAGAAAATGTCTCTATCACTGCTCTGTATAACACCAATGACAGTTTAAAAAAACAGCAATTAAAATTAAAAGGCTAAATCTCCTATTTTTCACAAATGCCTTAACAATGTCATGAATATGTGTGTGTATGTATGTGTGTATACATATATATATGTATATACACACCCATAGGATATGATATTTAAAATATTTCCACTTAGCTTCAAGATTTAACCACATCAAACATTTTCACACATTCATTATTGCACTTCATTAAAAAAATGCAGTAAGTATGAAGTAAGTATGAAGTATATACTTTTGAAACAATATAATGAAATTGTTAAGAAAATATTTGCCACCATGTAACAATGAATCATTCATTCAAAATTATGTCAGTCTTTTTTAAAGAATTTTCAACCCGATTTTTACTCACTGCCCTAAGGAACTACAGCATTTATTCTCAACATTTTTATATTGCCACAAGCAAAAATTTAAAAAAATATATATAGCACTTTGTCCCCAAGATAAATACCTGCTTCGGTTTGGTTGGGGTCTTTAAATCTAAAGAGAAAAAGTGAAAGAAAAAAAAAA